AACACCATTTATTGACGAAGCTGTCTTTTCCCCATTGTATACATTTGCCTCCTTTGTCATAAGTTAATTGCCCATATAAGTATGGGTTTAATTCTTGGTTTTCTATTCTGTTCCACTGAACAGTTTTTGTGTCAGTACCATACTGTTTTGATTACTGTTGCATTGCAGTATAATGTAAAATCAGGGGGTGTGCTACCTCCAGCTTTATTCTTCGGTCTGTTCAGGCTGTCTGCCTGGCCTGGCAGGGCTTGGGGCTGATACTGGCCTTTAGTGTGTGTGTTGAGCATCAGGCACTAATAGGCTAGAAAGAGAATTCCAAAATGGCATTTGCCAGCTGGAGTGTTATTGTGGTAGAACAAGCTAATAAAAGGCTGACACTATCAACTCCATCCCTGGGGCAGGGTTGTCCCAATTGCCTCTTGTCTCTCTGGGAGTCTGTCCAAGATCAATATGTGGATCTGACCCAGGCCCCTTTCAAACTACTTCCTCTGCACTGGGACTTGGAGCATATGAGATTTTGTGCATGCCCACTAATAGTTCTAATAGCAGTCCAGCTCTCCTGAATGTAAGTACAGCTGCTTTTCAAAGCCAGATGTTCCAGGGGCTCGACTTCTCAGTGCAGGACCCCCTGGCTGGGATGCCTGATATGAGGCTCAGATACCTGCCTCCTTGGGGACAGCCTCTCATTTGTGGGTTGCTGATCTGGGGATGTAGGTCCTGATTATATCGCATCTCTGCCCTTCTCACCTGTCTCATTGTGGTTCCTTCTTTATGTCTTTAGTTGTGATAAATCTTTTCTGCTAGTCTTCAGGGCATTCTCATAGATATTTACTCTACAAGTAGCTGTAATTTTAGGGTGTCTGTGGGAGGAGGTGAGTTCATGGTCTGCTTAGTCTGCCATCTTGGCCACCTCTCTGCAACCATTTCATACCTACATTCCATTTTTGTTTATTTTTATAACTCAGTCAAAAAAACTTTACTATGCCATATAGCTGTGGCAGAGAGATTAAATGACATTTAACACATCTACATTAGTCACTATAACAATGCCAATTTAACTTTTTTAGCAAAAATACCATTTTCTCATATATCATTTATTTTCCATAACTGGTATAATTACTAAAAGTCATGGCTCAGGAAATTCAAGGTTCCATGTGGTCTGGGGGCATAATTGTACTTCATCGGACAAAGAGCAAGTTTTATATTAACTCTGGATTTAGGTATCTTTGTAGAGAAGTGCCCATCTCTCTTCCACCAGGGTAATCCAAAATTGATCCTTAACCTGTTCAAATTCTCCCAATTATAATATAGAGAGCCAATTATACTTTTAACATTGGGGTTCTGAGGGAGGATCAGTAAATACCATGCTTACCAGTGACATCTTGCCATCATTTAGGCTATCTTTAGTGTTCCCACAAATAAGCCTCCTCTTACCTAAGCCTGTAGCCCAGCTGGCCACTGATGTTTAAATATATAGGATGCTATTTCCATCAAAATGGTGGCAGTTCCTTCCTGGGTGAGGGTATGTGTTTTTTTTCTGACAGTTATTGACAAGCTAGTTGCTGAGTCAGTTTAGTAAATGCATATACATAGTCTATTCAAACTTTGCTTCATCGTATTTCTGGGCCATATGCCAAGTTCAGCCAGTTTCCTGGAGAGGACTCCCTCTAGTGACCATTTAGATTATGAGTCTCCAGGAAAGTTAACTTCTACTTGACTCTACACACTTAATCACGTTCCCAACTTCCCAAGTCCCTCTTAGTCCTCTGGGCCAATGTTATGCGATCACAAGTGTTGTTGTCATGACTATTCATGGCGTGACACTAATTCAAGCACGCTACGTGCACCCAAATAGTGTTGTCTCCCTCAAGCAATTGCCAGGTGAGCATATTCACTTAGCAGGTGTAGTTCAGTTCAAGCATAACAAAGTCTTCCCACAAACATTTTTTCTGAAGTTTCAGGGTGAAATCATCATTGATATGTGACAACTCTGTCACACCAGCTTTCACTTCTTAGACTTCATTGTGATTCCTTGAATTTCTGCCAGCATAATCTTCCACCCACATTCTTATTGGGTGTGGTTAAAAGAGAAAATTCAATTCCAACATACTGGGCAGAAGACAAAAACACGTCTCCCTCAAACTTAGGAACCAGGGAGTCATCGTGGTTACAGAAACGTAATGTAGCAGCTGTTAGCTGACAGTCACAGTGTGTTCAGGAAGGTTCAAAGGCAGGAATCCTCTTAGTGCTACAGAGACTCAGCATGATAAACTCACAAAATATGACTAAGAAGATTCAACTGCAGGGGTCCTCTTAGGGTTACAGAGATTCAGTAGGATAAATGTAACAACAAAATGTCCCATTCTACTATGATCCAGGCAGGTCATCAAGGAACTCTGATTGATGTATTCTTTCCAGATTATATAAATAAGGTCTCGAGATATTGTTCTAGCGTGGCTTTGGTTCAGTTCTCCTTCTCAGGGGAGAATGAATCCTGGAGCATCTTGGCCGTGATTCACTACCTCACATGAGAAAAACAGCTAAGAATATTACTATCATCCCCTCACCCTTTCCTACCATTATTTCCCATTATGTGATCTCTTTTCAACACTCACAGTCCTCTCACTTTTCCCAATTACTGTCTTAAACCAGACTGGGTTTCTTTGGCTAGAAATCTCTGGTTCAGCTATACTGCCCTCTACAGGCAAGTAGCAGCATGTCTTTTCACATATGGTATTGGCTATTGAATGTCTTCTTTCGTGAAATATTCAAATTTGTGGCCACTTTAAAAAATTGAGTTGTATGTTTTTTCACATTGATTTGTTTGAGTTCTTTATATATTCTGGATATGTCTGTGTCAGATAAATGCATCGTGAGTATTTTTTCCCTTTTTACTTTCTTTTTGGGGGGGTTTTATATATATATATTTTTATTGGAGTATAGTTAGTTTACAATGTTGTGTCAATGTCTGGTGTACAGCACAATGTTTCAGTCATACATGAACATACATATATTCGTTTTCATATCCTTTTTCACCATAGGTTACTACAAGATATTGAATATAGTCCCCTGGGCTATACAGTATAAACTTGTTTATCTATTTTATATATATTAGTTAGTGTCTGTAAATCTTCTCCCTTTTCACTTCTGGGTTTTTTTGCAAGATATGTGTATTTATTTTTAAAATTTTAAAATTTTTTACATGAACATACATATATTCATTGCCCTGTTCACTTTCTTAAGTTGTCTTTCAAATGAGCAGAAGTTTTGTATTTAATAAATCAATTTAATAATATTTTGTATTTAGTCCTTTTTGTTTCCTGATTATTTCCAAGATATTCCCTCATCTCGCTTTGCTGTACACATGAAACTAACACTGTACATCGACACTTCAATAAAAAAAGAATTAATAAAAAAAGAAATATTCACTCATCTCAGAATCACAGATATTTTACATATATATATATGTGTGTGTGAACCTTCCTGAACACACTGTGACTGTCAGCTAACAGCTGCTACATTACGTTTCTGTAACCACGATGACTCCCTGGTTCCTATGTCTGGTTTTTTTAAAAGAAATTTTATAGTTTTAGTCCACACATTTAAGTCAATGAGCCACTTTGAATTAATTTTTGTGTATGGCGTGGAGTAAGGGATCAGGTTTAATTGTTTTCCCTGTGCTTCTCAAGTTGCTCCAGCTGCATGTAGTCCATGAGCCCTACTCTCCCCCTCAGACTGCATCGACACTTCGTCAAAAATGAAATGACTGTGTTAATAAAGATTTATTCCTGGGCTCTCTAGTCTATTGCATTGATCTATTTACGTATTCCTATATAAGTCACACATATTAATTACTTTAGCTTTGTGGTCAGTCCTGAAATTTGGAAATGTGTGTCCTCCAACTTCGTGATTTCCCTTCAAGATTGTTTTGACTGTCTGAAGGTCGTTTTCATTTCCATCCAGGTTTCAGAGTTGGCTTGTCTGTTTCCAAGGACAATAACTAAGCACCTGTGCCCAGGCTTGGAGTAAAGTGCCTGGAATCAGGGTCTGCTCTCCTAAAGCCCGAGCGGGGGCAGCGTGGCCAGGTTTGGTGCAGGCTATCTACAGACTGTGGTGAGGGGAGGGGATGACAAGGAACACATCAGAGTGACTGCTTGTTTCCCACGGAAAACACTTGATGCAGTAGAACAGTGAACTGTGTCCTTGAAGTTCCAAACGTTTTGGTACCTGGAATGCTATACCCTATTAAATTACCATTCAAATGAAAGAACCAAATAAAGATGCTGTTCAGATTTGCAAGCACCGAAAAAGTTTCTCTTCAGCTGGTATCTTACAAAGAAAGTCTCTCACCATTGCAATGGCCGTCTGATTTATTAATAATTTGAAATTCCATGAGCTATAAATATTTACTTGCAAAAATTCAGACATTACAAATATGTATAAAGAAGTGGAAATTCTCTCCCTTTCTGTCCCCCCTCCTTGCACTTCCATTCTTATGCCAGAGACTATACACACATAGATATTCATACAATTTTTAAAAACATAGTGGATCAATACTTTTATACTTTGTTCTACATCTTTTATTTTTTCCTTTGGGAGGGGGGTAATTAGATTTATTTGTTTATTTATTTGATGGAGGTACTGGGGATCAAACCCAAGACCTCATGCATGCTAAGCATGTGCTCTACCACTGAACTGTACCCCACCCCACCTTGTTCTATGTTGTCATTTTTCTACTTAATGGCTTTTCAAGGAAGTAATAGAGCTGTATTTGATTCTTCCAACATATTATATATTGTTACATTCTATATAATTAACCATAAATAATTTATTTATTCCCTTCTGATAGGATTTTAGGTTGCTGCCAATTTTTATCTCTTAAACTGGGATTCATTGAAAGAAATCTCAATTCTATATATTTACGATAATATTTTTACAAAGCAGACTTCTAAGAGTGGGAATTTCTAGAATAAGGTATTAAATCACTTATTTTTAAACATTTAGCTTTAGGGATAGAGGGAGCGGAGAAAGTTTCCTGCATCCTCCCTTCACCACTGTGGAATGGACAGTTTTCATGTCATCACTCTTTGCTTGTTTTTTCTGGCCATTAGGGTTTTTAATTGCGTGGTGAAAAAAGAAGAGAAATTTGAAAAGAAATAAATCGATTAGCAAGATAATGAAGGAAGGATAGAAAGATAAGAAAAGAATAACAGTGGAAACAATTTTTAAGCAAGAAAGTTTTTTAAAGAGAAAAATAAGGAATTATAAAAATCCTCAATTTGAGAAAATTAGTTAAATATGCCCCCACCTACTCTTCTTCCTTCTCTTCCCTCATTCTTTCCACCTTCAAATATTTTCAAAGACATTCAACAGCTATAAATTAAGTAATTATTTTTAAACAGTATATTGAAATGTGAAGACCCTTGGAGGATAAGTCTTAATAAAAGAGAGAAATTTATTCAGGAAATATCTATAGGGAAAGGGTTAGTTTAAAGCAGTATTTGGAAGATGAGATGTCATGAATTTTCATAAGAAAGAGGGGAAATAGTAAGGGAAGAGGATTATGAGTTAAGAAGAGACAAGGCCAACTGGTGGGCCGTCA